AAAGACTGTAAGAATAACAGAAAATTTCCAACCCCGGGTATAAGTTTTCATGTGTAAGTGTAAGTACATATTTACATGTTAAATTTTTAACAATAGTTACAATAATACCTATACTATTTAAAGGTTTCCCAAAGGAGAGCTTCAAAAAGTATGGCTTAATTTAATTGGAAAATCAGAAGAAAATTGGACTTGGAATAAAAATAAAGTTATTTGTTCGGAGCACTTTAAAAACGAAGATTTTGCTATGCGTTTTGGCAAAAGGTTTTTAAAATTAAATAGTGTGCCTTCTCTAAAACTGGAAAAATCAAAATCCAAACCATCTTGTCAGGTTATAAGCACTGCATTAACTTTGTATTCAGATTCTGAGGCATCAACAAGTAAAGTTAAAACTAAACTTCAAGAGTCTACGTCATCAACGGATGAAAGTATATTAAAGAAACAAATAAGGAAAAAAACGAAAGATTGAAACTAGGTAATATAAATTAAATGCCTTTAATTTTATATTTTTAATATCCTTTAATTTGTAGAGGAGAAGCAAGCCAAAATACTTCTGCAGCAAGTACCAGTACTGACAGCAGTGCAAAACAAAAGAAAATTAAATTTGTCAAAACTATACACAACTATAGGTAGGCAATGCTTAGTGAAGTTAAAATATTTGTCTATTTCGATGCTTTTAAGAGCTTCTTAAAAGCATTTATTTTAGGATTTTATTTATTTCTAAACGTTAAGATGATACCAAGTACTTGGTATCACAATAAGGGTCATTGTAACACTAGGTTTACAATATACTATTATTTAATTAATTTTGAATTACTTTTTTGTGGTTGTTTTATTTATTATTTTTTATTTTAGTATATCTCCTTCAAAAGTTAAGAAAATGAATACAGATTTAAAACAAAGGCAAGCAGCTTATAGGAAAAAACTTTATGGTGCAAATAAAGAAATAAAATCTTTAAAACATAAAATTTTAACCATGCAGGTGGTAATGGAGCATCTAAAAAAAATCAAAGTGTATCTGAAAATGCTGCTGATCATTTAGAAAAAACATATGGTAGTGTTCCCCATCTATTAATGAATAGATATTTAAAAAATATTAAAAATGAAACCATAACACACGAGTCTTATCCTCCAGTATTAAGAGAATTTGCCGCAACCTTGCAATTTTATTCCAGTAAAGCATATGAAGAGGTTAGAAAAGAATTTGCAATGGCTTTGCCTCATCAGGCCACAGTTAGAAAATGGTATCAAAATGTTAACTGTGAACCAGGGTTTGTTTCAGCAGCATTTGATGCTCTGAAGCTAAGAGTGGAAGAATCTCAGTCCAACAATAAAGAAGTTTTTGGTTCTCTCCTATTAGATGAGATGTCAATTAAAAAAAGTTTGGAATTTGATGGAAAACAAGAATTTCGAATGAAAATGTTTGGAGGCCTTTTTTAATGGAAACAGTCCAATATTTATCAAGATGTACAGATGTTGGGGGAAGACCTTTATGGCTTACCCCAAAAAAAACTCCCTTTATTGGTTTTTCCATTACATCTATGTCTGTTTGTGGAATTTTTGATGAATTTGTTAAGTCTGGCAAACTAAACTATTTTTTGACTTACAAGGTATCCCAAGACCATTTAGAAATATTCTTTTGTTCTGTAAGGTAAGTTAAATATAAATTTTTTGAAACTATATAATATTTTTAACCAATTTTTTTTAGAAGTAGAAATGGATGGAATAATAATCCTACTTGTCTACAGTTTAAAAATACTTTTAGAAGATTATTATTGCATACAAAAATTTCTCAGGGAGAAGGCAATTGTAAGGTTTTAGATGCTACCACTGTATTATCCATACCCAGTACTTCAGTAAAATCAACTGTGGAGGAAGTGGATTTCTCCATGTATAGGAAGTTCAGCTATGAACCTGCTGATTTTTTGTTGGATCATAATTATGACATATTAAGTGGTGTAGTTGAACTGAATACACTAACATCAAATGTTGTGACTTACATTAGTGGTTATGTAGTCAAAATGCTGGAGAAAAGTAATAAATGTGCAGAATATATATTGGGATGCAGATCAACTATGGATGCCATTAATGATGAATCATATTCTTTAATTTCATTCAAGGATAAAGGTAAAGTAAATGCCTACCTCAATACATGCTCATGCATACTTTATTTTTAGGAGGCTTGCATATTCCTTCATATGGATTGGTAAAAATCTGTCAAGGAGTAGAAATTGCCATAAAGAATATGCTACTATCAACAGATAACAAAATACCTAAGGAAAAAAATTTTATGGACATTTTTGTCATTGCTAATTCACAAAAATATTATACTGATATTTATAATCTTTTTCCTATTTTACACAATCATTTTTTGGAATCTGCACCTTGCGATGAAAATCATGGATTTCTTTTGGTTAAAAATATTGTTCGTTCGTATGCAAAAATACGACTTTATAATTTAGCCAAAAAACATACAGAAACGATTCAAGGAAATGCAGTTAGGAGACAGCTTAATAAATTAATATTGTTTAACCATCAGTAATATGTTAAAATTTACATAATAATTTGGTAATGTTTGTACTTAAATTGTTGTAATGTAAAATATGTATGTGTTTGAATTGTAATGTATATACATATATGTATATAGAGGTGTCCCTCTATAAACTCTGTGGGTAAAAGGCATAAGGGGATAAGTCAAAAAAAGCAATTTTTCAGTAGAGCCTTAACCGTATTCGCATTAATTCAGGAAACATATTTATGGTTAGCGGGTATACACTTTTGTTAGCAAATGTCATATGCTAACAAAAGAGTATACCCGCTAAACATAAATATATTTCCTGAATTAATGCGAACCTGTTAAAGGCTCTATTGAAAAACTGCTTTTTTTGACTTATCCCCTTATGCCTTTTACCCACAGAACTATCTTTTATATGTTTTTTTGCGACGAATAAAGAATTATTTATTATTATTAAGTAACAACTTTTATTTCATACCAATCATACCAGGATTATTAAAATATATTATTTTATTAAAATTTAATTTGAATAATACTCAAACCTAAACAAATAAATAAAATAACAATTTTTAACAATCAATAAATTATTTTATTTTATTACAATTTAATTTGAATAATACCCATACTTAAACAAATAAATAAAATAACAAATTTTAACAATTATTAAAATATATTTTGTTAAAATTTAATTTGAATAATTCCCAAACTTAAACAAATGAATAATAAAATTACAATTTTTTATTAAATATGGTTTTTTCTTTTATTTTTTACATAATATAAGAGAAACATTCAATCTTTTTACTAACAATAATTGTATTTTTCTAAAACAACAATTTTCTCATTTTTATATTGCATATTTTTCACGTTTTAAAGTTAAAAACATTTTAAATTTATATTTTAAATAACACCGATAACACATTTTTAATTGCTCCTCGTATATTTGAAATAGCCCTGGTAAAACATTTTCAATTACCCCTCGTATAGTAACCTAGAAGATGGCGGCGCCCATGATTAGGAAGTTTGCGCATATTGACACTCATTCTCCCCACCTCCATATCTCTGGTTTTAACTTTCCCGTTCCGTCGGCTTCTCGGAGCCAATAGAAAAGCATTAAACTTAACCCTACATTTCATAGATAACCTACATTTTAAAATGACATTTGATGATTTTCTGCATGATTGTAAAAAAACATTCAGAAACTCGATTTTTTGCACAGAAAATATATTTTTTAATGATTATAATATTAATCTACGATGATATTTTTGTGCGATATTACATCATATCAGGTTACGTCTGAAAACAATGATTATATTTAGGTCTACCTGTACGATCGAGTAAAATTCCTAGAATTTGTAGCCAAATGTTTAAAAACAATGGAAAATCTTGACGTTCGAGGTAATACAATAATTATTTGTGAGCGAAAATGAAAAATCTGGGAAGGTAGAGTGAATTCAGGTAAATAAATATAGTTATTTTTTTAGTTACTTTTATGTCAAAATTAAAAAGCAACTAAAAATACAACTAGGTAAATGCTAAAATCCCTGTTTGTTTCCGTTTCGTTATTTTGATTGTGCATCTGACAATCATTCTCGTTCCCGTTCCCGTTCGCGTTGCTGTTCCCGTTCCCGTTACCGGGCAGTTGTGCAGCGGCCTTGAATCTCCTTTTTTATATTTTAGCACTTCATTTAAAATTTAATTCTGAAAATTGTCAAATTTATTATTTTATTTAGTTTAAAAAGGGGAAAATTTGTTATTAGTAATAATACCCTTTTAACTGCAAAATAAATTTATTCATATAAATATTTATTAATATATTAATAAAATGTGTTTTTATTATTTATTCCCTTATTTATAAGTTTTTTAAAAATATGATAAGTGCCTACTAGGTATTTTTTAGATATAAAAGATAAAGATATTCATTATACTGTTACGGTTACTGTAAAATTAAACACGAAGAAGTTTTTATAAACATTTTGTCTTTATTGTTTCAAGCCAAGTTTATGTAAGGTGAAATAAATATAACAATTATAATTTTTTACATGCGATGCACTTGACTTGCTTTCATTGATGCACTGTGCGTTTTATTTGAATAGTTTCTTTTTATACACGCAAATATTTATCTGGCCATTGTTCCAAACAATTGTTTTAAAAACAATAACACGTGGGTACTGGGCGACTGTGAACGCAATATCGAAAGTAGGTTAACCTACTTTCGGTTTAAGAACGACTCTTTTCGCCATGTTGGTTTTAAACGTGGAGTTTTAAATTATCTCTTGTGAACTCTTCTGGGCAACGAGGAAAACCGCATTTAATACCGTTGTGCATTATTCGCATATGTTTGCTTGTATAGCTTCTTCTTGCCAAACTTTTGTCACAAAGTGAAAATTTGAGTTTTTTTCTTTGGAAGGGTCGCCATGTTGGTTTTGAACGTGGCTCTTTAAATTAAGAATTGTTGTGTACGCTTGTTTTTAAGCTCGAGGGACCTTATTTAGGTAGGTATTGCGCTTTTATGAACTGTTTTTAAGTGTCTTTGCATATTAGACTGGGTGATGAAATTTTGATCACAATGTGAACATTTGTATTTTTTACTTTCCAAGGGTTCGCCATGTTTACTTTGAACGTGTTTTTTTAAATTATTTCTTGTTGTGTACGCTTTTGGGCAATGAGGACAACTGTACTTAAAACCGCTGTGTTTGGTTCTAATATGCCGGCTTAAACTTCCCGAACTAATTAAATTTTCGTCACAATGTAAACATTTGAATTTTTTTCTTCGTAAGGGATCGCCATGTTGGCTTTCCACGTGCTGTTTTAAATTATGTATATTTGTGTACACTTTTGAGCAATGCTGACATTTGTATTTTTCTCTTTGCAAGGGATCGCCATGTTGGGATTGAAGGTGCCGTTTTAAACAATCTTTGCTTGCCAAATCTTTTGGGCAACGCGGACATTTGAATTTTTTTCTTTGTAGCGGATCGCCATGTTTTGATTGAAGGTGCGCTTTTAAATATTCAATTCTAGTGAATTTTTTTAGGCAATGTGGACATTTGTGTTTATTTCTTTGCAGGGGATCGCCATGTTGGGATTGAAGGTGCCGTTTTAAGCAATCTTTGCTTGACAAATCTTTTGGGCAACGCGGACATTTGAATTTTTTTCTTTGAAGGGGATCGCCATGTTTTGATTGAAGGTGCGCTTTTAAATATTCAATTCTAGTGAAATTTTTTAGGCAATGTGGACAACTGCCTTTTTTTCTTTGTCTTTTCTTTGTTTTTTCGCCACGTTCAATTTGAACGTGACGTTTTAGGTTAGACTTTGATATGTAGCCTTCTGATGTTACCCTAAAACAAAAATAACCTCAAAAGATCATAAAGATTTTATTTATTGTTTACTAACTAGAAGCTATAAGCAAAGATAATATTATCTTTGGCTATAAGTACCTAATAAATTGTCATCCTTTGGAGGGATGATCATAGGTCAGGAACAACCAGTGGCGGCCCAAAATTTCTACTTTACTTATAGCATTAATATGTTATGAAACTGAACTACATAAAATTAAATTTGTAAATTTAAAGTCGTTTTTTGTAAAATCTCAAAATCGAAAATACTTTTATAGGCAAATAAAAATTTAATGTTCTTATATTTCTGGGGCCTGTAGGAGTCCATGTATATTTTTTTCTAAAAAACTCACCTTGATTCATCTTCATCATCATATTTAACCCCATGATATTCCACTTCAATTTTCATCTCACACATGGCTTCATCATCATCTTCTTTAGAAAAGTGACTATCCCATACTCCTTCCTTAATATTGCATGAGGAATTTTCACTTATATCTCCAGGATCTTTTTCTTCATCTTTATTATCTAGAACATTTTTATCATCTTCAGAAAAGTCACTATCCCCTCTTTCTTCCTTAATATAGCTTATATAGTTTTTTTCACATTCATCTCCAGGATCTTTTTTTTCATGTTCATTATGTAGGGAATTTTTATTATCTTCTTCAGAAAAGTCACTATCCCTTCTTTCTTCCTTAATATTGCATGAGGTTTTTTGAAACACATCTTCTTTATAACTATTGTTGATTTTAGATCTAAAATTATGATTAAATATATTTGTGGCAATGTTAGGTTATATTTGCTAAAAAATACCTATTCATATTAAACACCAGAGGAATGATATTAAATGATTAAATATACAAGTAGCAATGCTAAAAATAATTAGAAATGTTTTATTAACCAACCCAAACATTTAAAATTAAAATGCAAATATGGTTTTAAGGGATTTTAACGAAAAGATGTAAAGGCCGGTTGCCATAAATGGGATAATTGTTGTACCCTGTATGAAAATTGCTTACTTTTGCTATTTGTATGTGCAAGGGAAGGTTTTAATCAGAGATAAAGAAGGTTACCAAATACCCAAACAACATAGTGTGCTAACCTCAAAATTTACGTACACATGTATTTCTTCTTCTTCTGCTGTGTTATCAATATTATTTGTGTATAATGGCCTTTCCCTTCCGAAATTTATTAGCCCATAGATAATAATCTTTGGATTTAGCGCGCTGAATCTACTTTTTTTCGTAGGTACTGGTGAAAAGTTTTCTCAGAAAACCATAGATGACCGAAGAAAACATGACGCGTAATCAAAATGTGAACAAAGCTGAACCAAAAAGTGGAGTAATTTTGAGTTATAAGGTTGTTACCTGTGAAAGGGATTTTACCTGGAAAAGTTTATATCAGGCTCCTTATTCTCGTCATTGTAACAACTTCTACAACGCAACGCAGAAAGAACTCCCATCGCATTTTACATGGAGCTCCAAAACAAACTTGTCGTTTCGAGGTTATGACAATGACTATTAAGCCTGATTTAAAGATTGCTTTCCTTCCTTCCTCCCGTAAAAGATGAACAATACGAAAACCGTAGTGCTGTTTATAGATTTCCGTACGGTAATCTATAAACAGCACTACAGTTTTCGTATTTTTCATCCTTTACGGGATGAAGGAAGGAATGAAATCAGGCTTACATTCAGCTTTTGCCTCACTTCGCTTTATTCCACAAGAGTAGGCGTTAGGCGAGCCTAGGACAGATATTTAGAATATGTGGTCCATGATTAGCTTTTTCTTCTTGATTAAATATTTTATATTTTAGCAGTTCATTAAAAATTTGATTCTGAAACTTTGCAAATTTGTTATTTTATTTAGTTTAAAAAGGGGGAAAACTTGTTATTATAATAATACGCTTTTAACTGCAAAATATATTTATTCATATATTAAAAAAAATGAAATCGGTTATTTTCGTCATGTTTGCTGGTAAAATATTGAAGCGGGTATTTTGCAACTTTCGATAAAAATACTAACTAAAGAAATGTTCAGTATTTTATTCTATCCTGTTACTATTTTTCTTGACTTAAAGTTTCACGGTTTCAGTAAGCTACATCCGCAATTTGACAATGTGGAAATTTCAATCTTGAAACATCCACTCAATGCGTTGAACAAATCACAAAATGCGATATTGTCCAAAAAAACAGGTATATTTTTATACCCATTTTACCCCTCGCAGGTCTAGAAGCCGCATATATTTCACAACTCTTTCATTAAGCAACCGGACACCACGAGCTCCAAAATGGTAGTGAAAACAATATATATAAACAAAAAAAACAATATTTTTATTGTATTTGTATATTTTCCAAAACACCACGTGCACAAACCTAAGACCGGCCCTGTTCGCCATGTTGGTTTTGAATGTGGCGTCTTAAATAATACTCTGTTGTGAACTCCTTTAGGCAATGAGGACAACTGCAATTAACACCGTTGTGCATTACTCGAATATGCTGGTTCACATAACTGCTTCTCAAGAAACTTTTGTCGCATTGCGAACACTTGTATTTTTTTCTTTGGAAGGGGTCGCCATGTAGGTCTTGAACGTGCATTTTCAAGCAATAACTTGTTGTGAACTCTTTCAGGCAATGAGGACAACTGTTTTTAAAACCGATGTGTTTTATTTTCGTGTGCCGGCTTAAGCTGCTTTTTTTCAAGAAATTTTCCTCGCAAAACGGACATTTGTACTCTTTCTGAACGCCATGCGAGATTTGTAGGTGGCTGTCCAAGTTTGCCTTGGTGGTGTACATTTTCGGGCAATGCGGGCAAGAGAATTTAAAACCTTCGTGTGCCGATTTGATGTGCCTCTTTAAATACCCCACCGATGACAAGGTTTTGTCGCATTGCGAACAGTTGTATTTTTCCCTTTGCGAGGGATCGCCGTGTTGGCTTTCGACGTGCTGTTTAAACACTTTTTTGCAAGTATAGATTTTCGGGCAATGCGAACACGCGTATTCATTGAAACCCAAGTGTTTTACTTTGACGTGTCGGGTTAGAGACTCTTTTTCTACGAATGTGTCGTCGCATTGTCTACATTTGTACTCTTTTGGCACATGTTGGTTTTCAATGTGCTTTTTAAGGGTACATTTTTCCGTGTACGTATTCGGGCAATGCGGGCATTTGATCTTAAAGCCCTCGTGTATCACCCTGACGTGCATATTTTTTGACGTCGCGTTAAAGAAAATTTTGTCGCAATGCGGACACGCGTATTTTTTTTTTTGCGCAGAGTCCCCGTGTTGGACCTTAATGTGATCATTTAAAGACCCCCTTCTCGAGTACAATTTCGAACAGAACGGACAATCGAATTTTTTTTTCTCAAGGGGATCGCCGTGTTGGCATTTAAGGTGCCGTTTTAAAGAATATTTGCTCGTGAAAGTTTTCGGGCAATGCGGACAAATGATTTGAAGGGGATCGCCGTGTTGGGATTGAAGGTGGCGTTTTAAAGAATCACTGCTTGTGAGGGTTTTATGGCAATGAGGACAATTGCGTTTTTTTCTTTCTCTTTTTTTTGCTTTAGACTTTGATACGTCACCTAATGTTTCCCTGAAACAAAAAATAACCTCTAAACATTATTAAATTGTTATTTATTGTTTACTTACTAGAAGCAAATTTAAAAACATACTTTGGTCAAAAAATATTATTTTTAACTTTGCCAAGAATATTTTTAATTTTTTTTTTCGAAATAACTTACCCTGATTCATCTTCATCATCATATTTAACCCCATTATCTTCCACTTCAATTTTTGTCTCAAACATGTCCTCATCCTCATCTCTTTCTTCATCTTCATCATTTGAAGAATTTTGATCATCTTCTTCAGAAAAGTCACTATCCCCTCTTTCTTCCTTAATTTCGCATGAGTTTTTTTCAAACTCATCTTCAGGATCTCTTTCTTCATCTTCATCATGTAGGAAATTTTTAACATCTACAAAATAGTCACTATCCCTTCTTTCTTCCTTAATTGTGCATGATTTTTTTTCACACTCATCTTTAGGATCTTTTTCTTTATCTTCATCATGTAGGAATTTTTTAACATCTACAAAATAGTCACTATCCCTTATTTCTTCCTTAATATTGCATAAGCTTTTTTTCCATTCATCTCCAGGATCTTTTTCTTCATCTTCATTACATGGGAAATTTTTATCATCTTCATCAGAAAAGTAACTATCCCTTCTTTCTTCCTTAATTTTGAAAGTGTTTTTTTCACATTCATCTACAGGATCTGAATAATTGTCAGTTTCTTTATTACTATTGTTGATTTTAGATCTAAAATTATGTATTTAGCCTAAAAACGAATATTAATAAACATTAAATAAATATGTTTATAAATATTCGTTTTTACACGTACTTTTGTAATACAAGTAGCAAATACACTCAGGTGCAAAAAAATCGATCCATGTGAATTTTTAAGGATAGGAAACGTTTTTCTAAAAATATTTTTCAATATTAAGAAAAACTATAAAACTAAAGTAAATAAACAAATTTGTAATAAAAAGTAATTTATTTATTAAGTTATGTAATTTTATTTAAAAACATGTGCAAAATTAAAAAGCTTTCCTAATAGAAAAACGATTATAACAAAATTGGATTTATAAGATATGGCAACTAATACCTAGTGTTTTCTACACGGGCCCTTATAACACTCTGTACGCGTCTCGGCATGGATGAAATTTAATTTTGAATGTCCATTTGGTCCAAATGCTCCCACATTTCCTGTAGCGCCTCACTAAGGTCAGCCAAGTTGTTTGGGCAAAGTACTTGTGCTCGAATTCGTCTTCCCAGCATGTCCCATACATGTTCGATTGGATTGAGGTCGGGTCTGCGAGCTGGCCAATTCATGCGGACAATCCCGACCTCTTCTAAATATTCATCGACGATTCTCGCACGGTGCGGTGTTAAATACTTTTTTAAACAATTTTTATGAAGAACTCAATACTTTTAAATACTAACTTGGTGTAGTTGTTAAAATAAATACGATAACCAATGAATAAAATTTTGCAGAGCCGACGTTAGTTTCCTAACAAAAACATAAATAAACATTTTTTTGCAAAACATGTAAAAAATAACTTGTAAAAACCAATACATTTTACAAAATATTACTTTTACAGGGGTATTCTACAATTATATATAAAATACTAAAAGTCCAGAGTTGTAAAAATAAAAATAAATGAAAAATAAGCAATGGATCGATTTTTTTGCACCTGAGTGTAGTCTTTACAGCCTTGATTGAAACTCATTTAAAATAATCTGCTTTATGTAAGTTTAATTGACATAACATTGGGGTTATAACCTAAATTAGGTCAAGCTCCAATGTATTTTTGAAATAAAATAATAATTAATAAATGAACCGCTAGAGGGCGGATTAGCAAATACCTATTAAAGTAATGTTGGCAATATTTTTTTTATGTTTATAGCTTTTGATGAAAGTACCTATCTTAAAAATAGGTAAAAACCATCCTGTTTTATAATAAAAATAAAGTTAAGTAGGCATTTTAAATCTAAAATACTTACCCAAGCCAACAATCATTTCCAAGTTCTTTATAATAATTTTCTTCATTATTTTTTGGTTTGATAGAACTCTGTACTTTTTCAAAGGTAATTTGAGTGTCTAAAAGTGATGGGTTTTCCTTTTTTACACCTTCAGAGTTTATAGGGTAAATACTGTCATTGAATAAATGTACTTTGTCCTCTTCCATGGAATTATATACTGTAAATAATTAAATTAAAACCACTGATTTTTTTTTCCAATTTTGAAAAACCATTTTAATTGACTTAATAACGCATTTTTTTTCTAATTCAATTAACCTTATAGCTCTTCAAATAAACATCCCATATAAAAATTGCTTACTTTTGGTATTTGTCTTAGTTATACCTAGGTAAAAGGAAAGCTGTTAATGTTGACAAATAAAATAATTCCAGTAAACCCACACAACAAAATTTACGTACACAAATATTTAATAATAATAAAGTACAACTTACGACTCATATTTAATTTATTATCCAAATGTATATCTTAAATATCCAAAACAATAATCAACAAAGTTCTGCTGTGTCCATAATGGTTTTTTCAGTGTTGCCAACTTAGATTATAAAGGTTGCTAACAGTATATTGAAATTTTCTCCCACTACAACAAAATTCTCTGAACATCAGTCAAATTTTCCGCATCCAAGGTATAACATAGTTCACTGTAATATGGAAGCCAAGGAAAAAATATCATCAATAAAAATTCTCCGCAGACCGAAATCCGGAGAATTGTCCGCCTATTGGCAACACTAGAACAGCTGTTTTTTCCTAGGATGTTGCCAATTGTATAACGTACATTCTATTTATTAAAAATAGTTTTTTATTTATTCCAAAAATAATAACAAATAGATCGTTATGTTGTTGTAAAAATGCAGTTTATTTTTCATCGGCAGCCCGT